AGATCAACGGTAATATTTTTTCTCAAATCTAGATTCAATCGTCCCAGAGTCCTGGAATATCAGCTAAGCAAATTGAGTTAAGTGGGAAATTTGAGTAATTCAAACAAACTTGGGCATTAGTTTTTTCTCTTTCAAATTCATTTTTAATTTGAAGCGATAATCAACTAAAGCATCAATCTTGAAAAATATGTGGCTATGTTGAATGAATGAAATCTTTGAATGAATCAAAAAAAAAAAACCAAATTGAAGATATAAATCTAAACAAACATTGGGTATTAATAATTATTTATTAAGGAAGAGTGTTAAAACATTCACGTGTACAATTTTGAAAAAATGAAAAAATTTGGAGCTATTTTTGTGCATTTGCTTAGTACTTCATCTTAGCCGCTTTACTTTCTACCGTTTTTAATTTATGTATCTATGAATCGTTTAATGGATCTTTCTCATTATGAAAGCTAATAAATCCTACAAATTAAACTGGAAACCTTTCAGCAGCTTGATCAATTAGATGCTGTAATGGTAAACGTCCACTGGGATTATGATGCACCTGTATAAATACTGGCTGTAGACTTACATCTTCAGCTACATCCTTAAAGAAAACAATTATTTCAATAGAAATTTTAACTAAAAAATAAAATAAAATAACAATAAAAATATAATTCTGCTATCGCTGTCTAGTTTTTTCTTCCTTCAAATTTAAAAAATAAAGATATGTTCAATTACAAGTACAAATTTCTGTCGTATACTAGAGATAAGAATTTAAGTTAGAATAGAAGAAAAAATTAAAGCCGGACATCACAACCCATAAAAATCCAAACCTGAATGTTGACAATTTGGAAACATTGTGGATCATCAGTTGGTTTGATGCTAATGTATTTATCACCAATGGACTGATCGATTTGAACTGCCGTACAATAGGCTTTATTTGTAGTATAACTCATCATTGATACAAGGCCACCTATGGCTCCTGTTAACAAATCATTCTCTCATCTGAATTCGAAGGTTTTTCAAATTTTTCATTACCAGAAAAACAGAAATTTAAATAAAAAATTAGAAAGTGATACACTGTAATTTACTAAATTTTATTGCAGAACTAAATTTCCAATTATTTTTAATTTTGTCATCTTCCCAAATCATTGCAGAGTAATGAATGAAGAAAATCGTAATGTGTGGTATGGATTATATGAATTTTAAACTTCAGTATTTTAAAAGGAAATGCCAAATTAACCATTAATATTTCGGATAACTACAAATTTTGATTCTGGAATATTGGTCATTTCATTCAACACTTCGGCATCATTTGATATTGTTCGGCTCAAAAATGAATTCCAACCCATGGCTATTATCACACTGAAAATTTAGCTTTTCTCAATGATTCCAGTTTGTCAATAACTCCAGCGTTAATTATTTCAGTGATATTTCACCGAATATCTTACCCACCCTTTTAAGAATCTTTTTCTGTCTAATTTTCAAGGAAAAAAGTGAAAAAAAATTTTTTCAGTGTGTGAAAAATATTCTACAACAAGAAAAAAAAATGGATGTGGCGAACCACATCACTGATTTAATGGTGGTAAGCATATTTATGAAATTGTTAAAAGGAAATCACTGATTTTGATATTAAGGATTCTTTGGTTGATTAAAATTAAAATTGTGAGAAAAATGATTCGATGAGGAACAGTTTAGAATACCATTGTTCAAAGGCAACGCGAAATGTATGCAAATGACGAATGATTAAACAGTTAGTAGAAAATGGAATCTCTTTCACTCATTTAGAATAAAAAGTAATGGATTTAATTACCAAACACAGTTTTAATCTAAATAAATGGCAACCTATCAGTTTACTTGATGTAATGTGCTAATTTTAGAAGTGTGCATTACAATTGCTGTGAAGTACCAAGAAAGTAACATAACTTATACGCGGAAATGTCAGGAGAGAGCGGTGTGGAAAGTTAATGGTCCTTTGTGACTTCATGGGTGGAAATTTTAAATAAATCAAAAGTGACGATAATAGCAGCAGAAGATGATGGCAAGAAAAGCGAGAAAGATATACCGCGGGGTGGTATAGTCGCATATTGGTATGTGGGGTAGGCGGGGTGGGTACCTGATATTAAAACAAGTTGTGATTTGTTAAAGTAGTGATTTCGAAGTCGATTGGGTTGTTTTGTAATTTCGCATTACCATCACTGCAAATGTCATCGCTGCTGTCATTGCTCAGTGCAATTTGTTTGCTGGGGCTGTATACGGTTGGTATTTGTTTGCGACGACAGAACAATCGTCGAAATTGTCATCTGAGCTGGCAACGATGACAACTGAACAAAATCTTTGAAAATGGCGGTTGCTGCCGATCATAACTAACTATTCAACCGTACACATCGTATATAAACCAGAGAAGACACTCACACATGCACATATATGCACATACACACATACGTACACATGCATATATATATAGGTAGAGAGAGAGAGAAAGATGGATGTTAGTTGTCATGTAAGATTACTCTAATTTCGAGCAGTTTCCGGAAAGCTAGGCAAAGATGAGATAGACTAAAATGATCCGGATGCCACAGAACGCTATCCCATCATTGTCAATATCATCATTCGTCATTATTACCATGAACAGGAAGAACCGGTTATCAGTCCGTTTTGCTCACATCATCCCACTGTCATAATAAAGATACAAAACTCGAGGCGAGTTGTCAAATGTTGCTGTGCTACTTGTTCCTTAATAGATAATGACTGTATCAAAAAAATTCCAATCTTTGGGTTTCTAATTAATTATAAAGGATAAAATAATATTTAAAGCAAAAAAAAAATCTCAGTCTTTCGAATTAAAATCTCAGAAGAATATCAGATGTTTATCATTTTTCCTATTAAATCGAAAAATTAATTTAACAATATTACTAATTAATTATGATTACTGAATGAACAGTCAAGGAAGAGAAAAGATATCATCAAAGAAACTTTTTTTTTGTGTACTGTTTGGGTAACAAATTCAAAAAGACAATGGTTCCTTTACAAAGACAATAGTTCGATCGAATCAGTTGATGAAATATCGGCGGATAAGGAAAGTATTATTGAATATATTCAATTTTGCTTTAATTAGTAAAATCTACTTCTTCAGAATGCTAATGCTCCTAACAATCGAGAAAAAAGAAGTCTGTTTTAAATCTTTTCCTTTATTTTAAAATCGACCCAGTTTCAATTTACAAGAATTTTCATTACATTATCATGTTCCAAGAAACCATTTACATTCAGTTTCAGTCATTTTTATCAAAAATCAGTTACACTAATGTTTACAATGATACCAGTATCAAAATTACTGTTCGATCTACAAATAAATAACTATGCTATTTAGTATGGATAAGAATATTTCCATCTCGCTTAACCCGAGATTCGAACAGTATTTGAAACTGATGCGTTGCTATATTCAGTGAATTCTCCAATTTAGTATTCATAGGAATACTTCGAAATTTCTTGAAAAGTTCAAAATCGGCGTCCTATGGTACGACATGGTGTAAAAATAGTTCCATTGGAATTATTCTAGCAGGGTGAAAATATATTTCTTATGTGACATTTCTTTATGTAGTCATCACTGCTTGCTATTGGTCGTCTATTAAACTGTATCTAGTTTATCGGTCATCAATGTTATTATCACAAGCACTGCAATTTAAAAGTATTTTAACAATGAGCAATTGAATCCTTTAACTCGAAATTCAAATATTAGTGTTAAAAATACATTCATAGTTCCTTCGTGGTAAACCTTCATAAATGCAAGGGTTCAAAAAATACTTCACATTCACAGTGGTATTATCTAATAAGCAGCCACTCAGTGTAAAAGTAGTTTAAGTTGAAAAGTCAAAAAATGTACCTGCCTCTCGGTTTTAATAGGTCGGTCTTCTTACGAATAAGTGTCGGTCAACGGCCTTTAAAATGCCACTCTCTTGTTCTCCCAATAAAATGATATTACACTTCGAACTGCTGTAATATTGGGAATTTAAAGTTGAACCCATTAAAGCAATCTACACTATCACCCGAATCTGGACAAAATACCCAGTGTTCGCACTTTTGTTTTTGTAAATAAGGACAAATTACTCCCTCGGAAATAACCAGAGACTAGACGAAGTTCCTATATACTATAATTTTCTGCTATTAAAAGGGTCAAACAACCTCATACTACTGTTTGCGTAATGTTCGCACTGCAGTCAAAACTGAGTTTAATGGGAAAAAGTAAACACTGGGTCAAGAATGTTCATCTCCGATATGAGCTATAGTTTCTCGTGATTCGATTTAACAAGAATCAAACTATCTTAACAAAGAATTGTTAACATATTGCACAGCAGTTAAGGTAGGTAAATGCGGAACAAATATTAAACAGCAGCCGAAAAGCTGAATTATCCCTATTTTTGGTTATTCTTGAAAATGGATACAAAATAAACAAGGTCAACATAAACTTTATTATGACAGTGTTAAAGCAAATATAATACGACCAGTGAATTACTAGAATCACAAAAATATTACAATAAGGAGCTCAAAGAGTACGAAGATCCGTCAATCAGCGCTAAAGAAATAAAAGAGAAAGCGCAAAAAATCTTTGATCCCATAGAAGTCCTGGAAAATACAATCCGACAGGAATGTGGACAATTCCATGAAAATATGATACTAAGTTACCATCACTAGTGCTTTTAAAAATTGTAAAGCAATAAAACCCGCAAGCATCAATATTTTTGTCTTACATCATCAAGTTTCCAAAATCTGAAATTAAAGTTAAAAAAAAAAAAAAAAAAGAAAGAGATAAAGTGATTACAGAAGCTGAGATCCATAACAAAACAGTTGAAAAAGTTAACCAATTTTGATTTCGAAAGAAAGCAAACTGAGGGAAAGGTTTCTAATTTCCAGAAGAGCAGTAGATTTTTTGAGTAACCTGCTAAAAATTACAGAAATTCCCAAACAATCATTTTGTGTTTTTCTGCGATAAAGTCACAAAATCATCTATAACACAACTAATATATGTTACCTGATGCATTAACTGGAGATGCAGTAGCTCGCTGTACTGCTTCAACTGCCTTACGCAAAGAACGTATTTGTACATAATCTGTTACAGCTGGAAGAAGCGATGCTTCGTTTGTATGAACAGGACATACTTCAATACATTTCTCATACAAACGCAAAGCCTCATCAAGCTGCTGTCTGAAAGAGAATCGGTGGATCAAACGCATGTTATTAAAAGGAAAAAAAAATTGCGCAATGATGAGTTCCTTTCAAAGAGCATATGTCTTATATGCAGCTCTTTGCAAAACAAGTTCTATTAAATGGTCAAAATTCATATGAACTTTAAGATTTACTATATATAAACCATACAAACCTTTGAAATGCTATTTTTGCTAAAATTGCCAAAGCATCCGGATTGGCCTTTTCTCTTTCTAAACATATCTTCATTTTCGACTCCAACATGGCCATCTGATTCGGCGAACCTTCCATCTCTTCTGCTTCTACCATTCTGAAAGGAAGTACATTAGAAGTAAAGAAAACAAAAACCAAAAAACTTCCTTTCAAATGAGAAAAAGAACCATGCAGTATTTCAACCGAAGAATGTTCATAAAACTTACGCAAGATAAAACACTGGTGCAGCATAATCAGGAATACCCTCCGCAGCTTTTTTAAATGAGGCTTTTGCTAATCCTTTATTTTGAGCTGCATAATACAGCTGAAATTACTGCTTATAAGTCGCTATAAATTCCAACGAAATTTATAATGCATTAAAATGATCAGTTAATTCCAAGCAGGCAATATAAATTCTCTACTAAATTACGGATACGTATCTTTGCAACAATCATAACATGATAACATGATAGTGAAATACAAAAAGAGAAGAAGCAAAGACATACTCGCCCAGTGATAAGGTAAAGCACTGGATCAGCATTTTGGTTCATTTGTAGGAGTTGATCAACCTTTGTCATACAAGCCACAGCACCTCCAACATCACCCATTGAAGCTTTCAAAGCCATGTTGCAGTTTGCCCTCATATGACTCAAATAAAACTATCATGAATTAATTATATAGCACATAATTATATAACAAACGACTTCTAAATATGAACTGTTAAATCATCTGAACTTCAAAAAAAAAACAAAATAATTATTCACGGTAAGTCACAACAATACAACATAAAATACAATGCAAAAAACATACTTGACCAAATGATGGGCTGGATCAATTGTGCTGAGGCGATCTAAATAATCAATTGCTTCCTGCAACTGCCCATTTTCAGATAATAATAAAGCGGCACCCAAATAAACATCAACATTCGTGTGATCAATTTCGACAGCGCGGTTCAATTCACTGCAATAAAGAAATTAACTTTAATCACATGGATTTTTAATTTGACATTCCTCATTGGCTATTTTTATGATTCGTTTCTACTTAGGGCATCCCTATACTTAGAAATATATGCACAAATTGGCGCAATGAAAAGACGAAGTTCTACAAAAGAAAAACTAATTCAACTATTTCGTTTATCTAATCGTCCTTTGGAATCCTGAAGATCCTTTTAAAAAATGGAATAAAGCTCACAAACCAGACACACTTTTCATCAGGTGATTGAATCTAAACGCACCTCTCAACATCGCCGCAATGTTCAAGAATTTTCCAGGCTGCAAGCAAAATATGATACATTGATCGGAAACGTTTATTGGTTATATCACATCGAGAGTCTCCATTCAATGTATTCCATATACCGTCAAAAGCAGTTAAGCGTTCCTTTAGTGACTGCAATTACGGGAAAAAAATATATAGCAAACTTTCAAGCTAATGTTACGAAGAATTAAAATAAATTTGGTTAATAAGCGAGAGATGGCCAGCGAATGGATAAAATCAAATAATTTGATGACCAATATCATGACTTCTAAAGGAATAACCAGTATCGATTAATTATTTCAGTTATCATATAGTTACTATTTCTTGTCATGAAACAAAAAGTCGAAGATCAATTTCTATCATCGCTGCCTCAAATTATCTCTATTCTTATCGTCAAAATAGTTATCTGGTGGTAGTTCTAGCACTTCTTTACTGCGAGAAAGTACTGCACAATACAGCTGCATTTACCAAATGTTTTTTTTTTTTTAAACTTGATGCATTTTACTGATAGCTATAGATGACAAAATGGAATATCAGAACAAGGTAAAAATTACCACAGACTGTACTGAACTGTAAGATGAGAAAAAAAAATTCACAACACTCTCCTGACATTTTAATCTGATGAGATATTTCATGGGGAACAGAAGCGATCTTGATTTACAAACATTAAATAAGAATTTAAATGACACTAACCACTAGGTTTTCTTTCATTAAAGCAAAACGCGCCTGCAATATATAATCCCGAAGAATAAAAGTAAGATTTAAGTGATTTGGATCTGATTGCTGTACACGTAAATCATTCTCAAGAAGAGGTATAACTTCCTCGTAATGTCTTTGTCGTATCGCTTCCAGTGCCTGGTGATACGGACTGTAAGGAAAGAAATATGTGCGGAATTAAGAATATGTGCAAACATTATAACACTTTACATTAATCTACTCAAGCCAGGTAGATTTACATGGCTCAAACCCTTAACCAGTCCAATTTGATATAATTTAAAAAATATTGTGTTTTTAAAAAGAGTGGTAGATAATGAAAAAGAAATTGCGGCTGCCTTCATCATATGCTTTGTATAAAGTAATTGACTGCCTGATACCGAACAATGATACAGAAATATAATATTTTGGCACAAAATCCATATCGCCAAATCGAACATTAAATAACTCCAAAATACCTAGTGGAACGAGATTCTTCCTTCAAATCATGTAATATTGGATCATTGACATACGAACTACGCCACAGTAGCACTAACTCGTCTCTTACTGGTATGGATTCACGAGTACTTTTCTGGAAATTTTTAAAGACAATTAAACCATAAATGTAAAAAAGTGTAAATATAAAGTGCGCTGGATAAAGTTAAAATGCCACCGTTATTAAAAGATGAATTCCTATATTAACGACTTCATATTCTTCCACATTAACTTTAATAAACAGTATTTCATAGTATGCTTACTATATACGCCATCATTTTTTGTCATAAATTAAAGGATGCTTTTATTTGCAAAAAAATTAAAGAGCAGAATTTATAAATGTGAGATAAGGCCTTACTACATGTTCAACCAAATTAGCAGCAGCAAGTGCAACTGCACTATCAACATCCATCTTAAGTGAATCTGTTGCTTCTGGAGCCATAACGAATGCATAGGTAAGATCTGTAAAAGCAGAATCTACTGTTATTTTGAAACAAAGTAATTGGAAAACAGAGAAACAACAAAAAAAAAAAAGAAAAAGAAATAGGAGTAAAGAAAAAAGTAAGATATTCTAGAATCATAGAATGCAAAGTCTTCTGTTGAAAAAAGGAACTAAAAGTCTTTATTTTTTGGATAGTAAAATGCACTAGTAGAAACGAACTAAAAATCTATAAATAGCAAAAAAGAAAAAAAAAAACCATCTAGTGCTTCGTCCGGTCGATTGACTGATAGATAAGCTCTTGCTCGTCGCACTACGGCCTTAAGATAAAGTGGTGCTAACTCCACTGCCTTCGTGCAATCCATAATTGACCGTTCCGGATCTCCCTAGATTTCCATAAAATTTTCTATGAAAATAGAATTTAACTAAAGACAATAACTACCACAACACGTTGCACTATAATAAGACGGTATGCAGAACTGTAATACAACTCATTCTTCCACCATCAAAATTAATGAAAGTCAGAAACATAATCGTACCAGTCTGTCATAAGCAGCAGCCCGATTTTGGTAACATACAGCAAGATGATTTTTTTGCTCTGTTGGACAAAGTCTGATAGCTTCCGTAAACGTTTCAGCAGCCTTCCTATATGAACACTGCTTGAAATATTCATTGCCCTTATCCTTCATCCCTTTTGAACTTTGCATACCTGAAACATGACTTACGTTCTACATCAGTCTTTTTGTCTTTTTGTATTCTTAAGTTTGGAATCACATTCATAGAGAAAAAATTAATACTGTCCGAGATACCTGGAAAAAGAATTGAACATGAAGCAACAGAAACAGCTTGCCCCACGCCGCCTTCTGAACCGTTAGTTGTCTGCTAAATAAATAATAATCTCTTTTGAATGTTATAATATATAATAATAATAATAATAATAATAATAATAATAATAAATTTAAAACTGAAACTATACAAAGAAAGAGTGAAGTTGTTTATTTGTTTAAACTTTACTTCCTTTTCTAGCACTATTTTGTTCTTCTTCATTATAACAACTGATGAAAATACATGGAGAATATTTAAACATGCGAGCAGCAATTAAGTAAACTCATCTCTTCAATAAATCCTCATCAAAACACTGTCACAGAGATTAAATCCGGAAATAATAATAAAGGGAAGTAACAACAAACAACGCAGTTATACCACTTATCTGCTTTTTTTTTTTTATTTATCTATCACAAAGAGAATCTAAGAACTTGAGATAATTACAAAACTTGCATCTTTAGCTTGTTTCCGAACATACCACCAAATAGCGGCACCGCCTGCAATACACGCTCCACCAACAACAATCCATTTACCCCACTGTATACTATTTGAACCCTTTACCGCCATTGTACTGCAACAGATACCTGTAATAAGCTGGTACGGAAACAACGCAACGGAACATATGTTCAACAAAAAAACAAACAAAGACAGCCAGAAACACATACGAATATGGCTAATAACATAAGCAACACTCGTCAAAAGCCACGTTGAAAGCATGCTTCACAAAACTCCAACATGAAAACGAAACGATGGCACTATTTAAGACAAACAGACTATTATCACTGTGACTATTCCTTTATCTCGGACAGTTGGTCACCTATTATGATTCAGTTTTCTTACCTCACACTTACACACTTATTAATTCTGGTATTTCCTCAATTTCACACAGTACTAAACTTCAGCTTCTCAGCAGCTATCATCCTGTCAACCACAGTGTCTTTGTCTTTCTTTTTCAATTTCTATAATTGCTGTAAGCATATATTCGCAATAAAATTTCTCAATTACTTCACAATGTAAAACCGAATGTGAGATATCACAAGCAATAAACGGGATCGTGTAAAGTGTTACATATGAAGTGTCACGTGAGAGTGTAATGTCGACGCATTGTCTCCAGACAATAACTACGCCCCCATACCTAAATTTAACAATTGCCGCATTTCTCTGCGTGACTAAAAATGGTTCTGAGGGAATGACCTGATGATATTTAGAGTTAGCTGTTGGGAGGAGGGATGAGAGAATGGATGTATATAGTTGTTTTATGGTAGAAGTGATTGAGAATGGGATGGGGAAGGGAGAGAGAGTACTGTAATTGAAGAGAGAATAGGTATCAGAGATTCTTAAGAATGGTATCACAGCTAGTACGATAGTGAAGTGGCCCTATCTAACAGTTGATAGGACTCATACTTATTTGCATGTGAGAGGGGAACGTTCGGCTTGTTTTTGCTTGGAAGATGGGAGGTAATATGCCTATTATTATGACGTTATTTTCTGGATTGTACATTTCTAGTTTGCACTAAGCATAAAAATGGCTAGAAAACACGATTAATCAACAATCAGATCAAATCTGTTGTGCTTCTCGAATTTTAGTTTGTGATATATTTGAAATTTTATGTTATGAGATATATACCCTGCGTGATATATCTAAAATGTATCTTCATACTTCATATGTTTGCAAATTATATGTTACTTCTGTCATTGTTTTACAATGTGTTAATGGATGATCGAATATACTATAAAAATGTTGGCAAAGTGGATATAGTAACGTTGTCTGAAACACATAATAGCATCCCTTATTATTTCACCGCTTTTTGAAACACACAGAAGTCATATGCCACCTGCTTCTACTGAATTTTCATCATTGCCTGCTAAGTGAATTACTAATCATAAATTGGTCTTGTCATTTATAAAGAAATATTCATTGGACCTCATGACTTATAAATTAAAATGCTTATGATATGAAGTTCATGTTTTATTCTCTTCTCTATTTTCGACTCTTTTATCGCCTTTTAACAATGCAGTTCATTGTACATAATGCTCTTATAATAAACCTCGTTTAACAACTGTAACATTACAAACAAAGGTCGACATATCAAATGCAACAGAATATTAAAAACGTAGTTGATAATTTGCGCAAAGAATCTTGCTTTGAGTGAAATGTAATTAGAACCATTACTAAAAAAAAGTACCATTACGACTTACTGCATATATAACTGCATAAACTCAGGATTTTTATTTATTATAGCGCATTACTAAAAGGCGATATTCACCACCCAAAACCTATTCTTTAAGGAGACTAAATTACCACTATTCTTTAGGAAAAGAGATAGCAATGGCGAATACGTTATTTTATCCAAAGGTAAAAATTACTGTAAAAAAACATAGATATCACAGAAAGTAGAATTATATTAATCTCAAGCGATTCTGAATATATCAACCTATATACACATTTCGTTCGTTAACAGCAAATGTTCTTGCAAATATTAATTTGCATGAAGCAAATGCTATGTAATTTGCATAATGTTACGAATCACTACCACCGTCACAAATTTCCTAGTAAGCTAGTTTTAATTTAAAAATTTTCATAGTTCCATTTTTGTAGTTTTATTAACATCGATAAGTCCGAAATCCCTCAAAAGCATATCGATGCAGTTATGATTACCGATTGCATTCATTCCGACAGTACTTGCTAACCGTTCCACTGCGTTCACGAAACAGATATTTTTGGCGATACGGAATATTTCTTGCATTCTGGATAAGCCAGAAATGAAGCCTAGAAATTACAGAAAAGAAAGACTTGTGGAAGACTGAGATTAGATTTTATATGTTAAAAGTAATCTAAATTAAATGGGGCAAACATCGAATTATCTTACCCTTTTAACATTTTTGATTTCATTAAAGTAAAGCGACAACTCTGAGTCAGTTAGATTTTTACTTGAAAATAATTTCCATATTTTATTTGAACCCGTTTTTGGAGAGGACTCATTTCCTTCATAATCATCAATAGGTGGAATCTGTCCTGAAACAACAAAAATGTTGAGTATATTAGAAATAAGAGAAATGCTTGTGAATAAACAAATGAAATTCCCTATTGAGTTATATGACAAACTGTTGCTACATACAACCACCGCAGTCAACATATCATTCATTCTCAGACAGTAACCAGTGTTTTGCACGTAGAGTCCCTTGCAAAAATAAATTTCTAACTTCTGTTTTTTGAATGTAGTTTCTCACACCTTGTTTGCAGCGACATGTATACAGAAGGGTCACAGAAGCAAAAGTAAATTTAAAAAGGGATCGTAAAGTAAAGAAAAAGAATGAATTTTAAGCGACATCATTTTAGCCAACGATTTCGACATGTTGAATACAAGAATTATGTAGAAATACAACAACGAAATGGGAATAATCCAAAAAAAGAACCTTCAAAAACGTTGCTACAATTTGTTTCAATTTACCACGCTGACCCTCCCAGTTTACATCAAATAACAAATTTTAAGCTAAGTAATCACAGTTAAGAACTGTTTTAAAACGATAACTCTAGATGAGATGGGTAAAAAAAGAGTGCTTCGCGATGAAATAAAAGCATGATAACCTTCTATTTGAATTTGCTACTTTTGATGCAATGGCACAGCAAAAATTATATAATTGTAATTAGCACAAATTTCCTGGCTATCATTTCCATATAACACAAACTGATCGTTCCGTTTGGAAATAGCTGCCGCTTCTGCACTGAAATAATAAGATTAGACTTTAGTACCCTTCCTTCTTCTTTGACCAAAAAGAAAACCATCCTTCTTTGACCATTAACTGTGACAAGTCAATATTTCTGGAATCTCAAATAAGGAAATAAAGCCATTGTACTTAGAAATACTTACCTAATCAATTTAACTTTCGAAAAGTCCATCAGTTTCTCGACAATGAGTTTGTTTGAACCACTAACCGAGTAAAGCCCAGATACAGATCCAGTTAGTTCTATAAAGCCCACAAAAACTCTAATCTTCTATAAGTGATGACTAGTGTATAGAAATTTGATTATTGTTCCACATTACCTGCTAATAGTATAATAATGGAGACTAAGAAAGACATCTATCCATCTGTGAAGGCATTTTATTATAAAATTAAAATCACTAGAAATTTGAAAATTGAACTTTAACAGATTGTCCATAATTACAGTTAAGTGCTGCGTTGGTGAATTCTAAAATAAATGGATCATGACATCCACTCTCAGCAAGATACTCCTCCACTGTCTTATCAATTTTGCGAGGTGCCTCGACAATGCCATTACTATCGCATCCACAGTATATTGTTTAGTCGCCCTAAAACATATTCTCATATATCTGCCCTGGCTAAGACATCAAAATATCCATCAACGGTCCGATAATCAAATAAAATAAATTGGGCCGTAAGATGTTTGGCAATAATGAAGCAACACTGATACGGATAAAAACAGCTAGTGAATTATGTTTACAAAAAAAAAAAAAAACAAATAAATCACTGAATTTTGAGACACTGTTTTTAGACAAGAAATTTACTTCAGTAGAGAATAAATATTGTCAAAATCCGACAGGAGGCTGCTGATCTCACGATACTTTTCAATTGATCAAAAGCATATCTTTTTAGCAGTCGATAAAATCTGACCATACACCACGAACTTTCCAGAAAGACAAATTCCTGACCATTCTATATGCTCACAACAGCCTTTTTTTCATTCTTATATAATCCAAAAGTAAAATTAAACTGAGATAACACCGACACTATGTTGATAGATATTTTAAAATCACACAATCGAGTTTTTTTTTAAAAAATTGGACAAATCTGCACAGTGTTGTAAAATAAAACAGGTCTCTTCCAACACTGCAAAACAAAAAGGAAAGTATTGGTGTCACACTAAAAAATTTTAGAACAGTAAGTTATAATAGCAAAAACTATTGCTTTGCATTTAGTAGAGTTGAATTGCTCTTTAGTTTAATAGTTTCATTTAGTAGAGTTTAGAGTTTAAAAGTACTTGCCAAATTTTTCCATCCAATTTTTGAAATAAAGATTAGCAGGATGCAAAACACTGCCACCGGCCTCAAACATACGTTTCTGATCGCTATACGGCATCTGAATAGTTGCTAGTCGCCCTAAAACATATTCTCATATATCATGAAACTATCAAACTAAAGAGCAATTCAAACATTACAACCTGCAACTTTTTTTTACAATAATCTGAGGAAATACATCAAACTTGATTGAGCAATCAAATAAAGCATGATAGCAACGCATGGAACGTTTGCAAACAAATTCATAACTCACAACAACTATATAACAGAATCGAATATCAATTAGAAGTATTGCCAACGCCCCGTGTTTTGGAAAGCATTTGCATATGATTAATTTATTGAACAAAGAATGCAACAAAAAAAAGAATACCTCCGATGGTGCCCTGATTAAATAAGTGAATCTCAATGTTAATATCCAATGGTGCAAGTGTTCGCAAAAAATATGCAGAAGATGCACCGCAATACTTCACCAATAATCGCTGAAAAAGAAAAAAAATTCAGAGAATTTCAACAAGTTGAAAACTATTTATTCATATATATGAAAATTTTTTAAAAGATAATGGGAAATGCTACAACTAAACATTCACAAACAACGGAAAATTGCATTTCAAATCCACTCTTTATAAATATTTAAGTGATTGCTAAAGCGTATATCATGAAGCAAAATTTAGTTTTTAAGTAGAAATAGCTGAAAATGAAAAAATATGCCAATGTTTTACAACTGCGTCATTTAATTCTCTTTTTTTTAAGCGATATAATTTCAAAAACTTGCGAATTTTTAAGACCCATCCCTGGGGAAAATAGAGAAAAGACAATAAGCGCTGGTAATAAGCAGGAAAGCCAAAAATGCATATCAAATTATTCCACTGATACTTTAGAATGTCAGATAATACATGATTCTTAAAAAAAATTAAAAACATTTTTACTTCGTGGTTCCAAAGATACAGATGTTCAACAGGTTTGTTCTGCCATATTTTAATAGCAAACTAAAATGCATAATACTCGACGTAGATACATTTTTAAAAAATTAAATCCATTTTAAAATAAAGCTTATCTCAGACCTGAACCATCATGACTTTTGGTCATTTAAGTGAAGTATTTAGTTAGAGTTCATAGATTCTTGTGAATATTTTGTTTGATTCTTTTTTTACTTGAACTATTACTGGTCGACTAGAATCATTACTTCTTGGCTTATATCTCAACCTTTCCCCGCTTCTTTTTGTATTTATTCACCAATTTTACAATCCTACATGTTGGGAATAATTTTTTTTTATTCAATTCAGTTATTGCATATCAGTTTCTAATAATAATCACCAGTATTTCAAAAAGTCTTCCACTGATAAATTCAATTCAGTTCTGAATATTTTTTAACCTAATTAATCTCTTTTTCATTACTGGACAAAAGTTAGTTACAATTCAGATGGTATTAAATTAATACGGAACGAATGTATTTCGGCAACTTTTGATGAAACGAGAATATTTTGCCACATTCCTAGCTACTCCAATTAACAAGTTAGCAAAGAATTTAGCATTACACTCTTTTTAAGATGAATCCCAAAAGCCGAAACACGTAACTCCTAAAAACACCTCACCCCAAACTCCTCCATCCGTCCAGCTTTTTACTTCCGCATAACCATTTAGTATATCACAAAACTATGACTGTCACACTTTGAAATATTTGGGAACATTTACAGCATAACTGAACAAACTGACTAAGTGTAATGTCAAAGGAAAGGAAGTACGAAAAATTGACAACTTAGATGTGACGGACGTTTCACCCAGCAATCAGTCTATCTTCTCCTACTTCTCTCGTGGATTATTTGAAGCAATGAAGTAATCTTTCTGTGACAAATCTTCTCCAAGAGCAATACTTTCATCAATTAAACCGATCTTTTGAATGGATAATCAAGCGAAGTGTATAAGAGAATCAGTTTATTAACTTCTAAAAAGCATTTTTTTTACAATAAATTAAGTAATAGATAATTAAACCTACCAAATTTTCATTTCGCAATTGAAATGCTTATTTTACTAAGAGTCTCAATTTATTCGACCTTCTCTTTCCTCACTTTAATTAGCCTAAAAAAAAGAAGAAAGGAAAGAGAAAATCAAATTCAATAAAAAAAGACATTTCAAGCTAAATCTGCTTTTTTTTCTAAGTTCATAGATCATGCAGATAAAGTGGAATAAGAAGTCTTCAAACACCACAGTAAAAGAAATGAAAGTAAGGACTGGCAATGTTAGTGATATTATTATTTATGAGTGTGTGTATGTGTATATGTGTATGTGTATATGTATGTATATATATATATATATATATGAGATACATATACATATGTTATATCAGTAAAGAATATTGATGGATAGATAGAGAGCCAAGAAAAATTCGATTATATTTATTACTGGTAGCAACCACACACAATTAAGAGTGAAAAACAACGGGTGTTTTTTTTTTTTGTTTTGCTTTTTATACTAAATGATATTTGCTAAACGAAATAGCGGACAGAATGGTGGAGTGTTGCTAGATGCCTGTTCACTGATACTTCCACTAAAATTATCAACATCACACATTGAATGAGTAGAAATGCATAGAAAACTGAAAAGCAGGAAATTGTTGATTTCAACATTGAAAATAATGTATCTGTGTTATGAGAGTTAATCACTTGATTTACTTCATATTCATTATGCTAATTCAAAAAGCGAATTAATTTACTATAATAATTTTTAAACTAAACATTAAATGTTAACGTATTGTTTGGCTTCTCTATACATATCTTTGTTATGTATTATTTATCGTTTCCAAAAATGCACATGTTCATTATTCACAAAGAATGCAAAAAGAATAAATTTGATTGATTCAAAGTTTTTCCATTGTCTAAGTTATAAATCTCACCTGAACTGTCATCACTCCCCAAAATAAAAAGTAACTCTGATTTTCATTACTTCTTGTAAAATGTTTCTTGTTGTTCTTGTTTTAAAATTTAAAATGTTCAGAAGTTAAAACCTTTGGAATTTCAAATTTAAAACCACTGTTTTATTTGCTCTCTTCAAACAAAAGTTTAAAAAAAATGTGTGCTCGATGACCAGTATTTTTTTTTTTTTTTTAGAGATAACTATTATGGGTTTTCATTTCTTCGATAATAACAATTTTACAAGAAATTGTTTCGTGTTGTTCGTGAATGTGACATTATTAGAGCCTAATGAGATGTGAGCATTTTAACATTTATTTGATTAAATAATATTTAATATAGTTAATTGAGAGTTAAATCTACCAATACATTCATTTTATTGTACTTCTTCAGTTAAAAAGTGCTACCTCAAACTTATCTTTCTTTACATTGAAAATTTTATCAAATAATTCCAGAATTTTTTTTCTTTCAACCACATAAAATTGATGTAAATTACTTTATTCATTTTTATGATACTTTAATGCATATTCCTACCAAATATCAACTGAAAAGATCCATACTTTAGCAAATAAATTCCTCATAAATCTGTTTTAAAAGAAATCTCAAAAAAGAAAAGAAAAAAAAAAGGAATTGATTTATTTGTGTGTATGTATGTGTACGTGAAGGCATGAAATGATGAACTGAGCTAAAAATATTTCTAGCTATACAGCAGGCGGACTCAAACGTGATGTAGTATACCTTCCGATGTCATGTCATTGTTGAAGAAATAATATATCATCACTCTTATATCCAAACGACAACAACAACGATACTATCCTTTCAGTCCTTAGCTTACTGGCTTATTGCCAATTCAACTTTCAGGACATAAAAACCCTTAATTTCAGAATTTGTTCGTTTTCTTGTTCTTTAATTCCATTACTACCAAGAAGACTAAATTATCTTTAAATATTTGTTATTAAATTTATAAAATCCATCATTGATTAAAATTTCATTTTCTTTTACTATTATTTTTGAATCCAAAATCATCTTGAGCTCTACAAAATATGAATGTTTTTTTCTAGATTTTCTGAATTTCGCTTATTTATTCAATTCATCTAGTGGTTATTAATAGCCATTACATGGGTATCTTTTCCACAAATGAAAAGTGAACTGTCTCATTGGTGAAGCGTGTCGTTGTGAATTCAGAATCGATGATAAAGGATGTTAACAAAATTAGATTGTGAAGCTTCCACCATTTTTGTAAGATTCCTACAAGTGATTCGGTTTTCCTTTGTTCTTTTACTATTGTTATAAGGGATGCTAATGATTCAAAAGTTTCGGTGTTTAAAGAAATTCAAATAATAATTCATTGGTCGCTAATGTTTGCAAAGAAGGCAAGGAATGAAAAGCAGAAATAAATCTAACTTACTATTTCATATCTTACAAACTATTCTAGTATAGTTTAGTTAAGTTTTTTTCTGTTCGCTGAGAAAGATTTTTGGGCGGATATTTACAAACTGTGTCCTTTTTCCGAACATAATTAATAAAAATAGAGAAATCAGCTGATTTTAAATCAATGAATTTCAAGCATTGAAACAATAGCAACGGTGATGAAAGAGGAAGCAAGACGTGATGGGTGGGAAATTTAGTAGGAGGATAAAAATTTTTTGTGGATTTGAAATAGACACAATAGCCATCATTTCTAATGAAATAGTTTGTGCATCGCTTGACTTGCCTGCTACCCAGTAAACTACTGCCAACAGAAACTTTATGTTGTTTTTAAAATGATTTAGAAAGAACTTCATCCAGAGCGAAGCAAATACATCAGTGACGCGTACTCAGCGTTTATCAGTGTTTGGGTATATTCACCTTTCCCTTCACACTTCATTTCCAGCTCTTCATTTTAAACACTTCTTGACTACTAGAAAATTAAATAAGTTTTCTTTTTATCATTTTCATTGCTTCCATAATTAAATGCCATAATTTTTATACAAGCACTATGAAGAATTAAAAATTTTCTACCATATTTCTCAAAAGTGACCTGCAAATTCTATATAATTCTATTCTACATTGTTTTTTTTTCAATAGTTACAACGTTTTCAGTAAATCAAAGATGACAACCATGAAAGTAGGCAAAACTTTTAGGAAAACAAATCAATTTCAGGTTTCTTAATTTCTGCAAATCAAACTATTTGAGTACAACGACTATGAAGTTTCTCGGACGAAGGCCTTAATGACACTTACCTTTAAACTAATAACAAACTCTATTTTCGACTTTGTTATTTTCTTCACATAGTATAGGAGTTGCAGAAACTTGGTTTTCGCCATCATTTTATTTGTTCGAAAATCCTAGCAGTTGAAAAATGAATTAAGCGAAATGTTAAAGGACATAAAAGAATTGAAGAAACGGCTGAAAACTATTTTGAAAGTATCAACAACGCAATAGAATATAAGAAGTTCCAGCTTTAAGTTATCATAATTATGTTATTTTTGCGATTAAGAACAATTCATGCAAAATTCGTAAATGTAAAGTCAAAGAGATTATCAATTATTTGGAAAATTTTTCTTGTTTCATATTCATATTCGTTTCATGAATTCCTTCACAGGAAGAAAACTTTTCAAATGCGAACTCTAACAAACTGTTATGGGAAGAATTAATGATATGTTCGCTTTTGTTCTTTTTTGAATATAAATGTAATAACTACTACCTGACCTAAAAATAGCTTCTGCTCATCTCATATGTAAAATATGTAGAACGAAAAACCGTTTCAATAAATTGCCATATTATATTATCATACTATTGCATTTTTAAGATTTTGATCTCAAAAATTACTTGTGAATCTTTGGCTGTAAATATGTATAGAATTATTATCATTCATTCATTTAGCGAAATTACAAAAATTTATTGTTTATTATAAATATAGATAATACCAGCCTTGCAACACTCATTCCTTCTAATATACATAACAATAACTTTGCTATGTATATTATTAGCATGAACATCCTCACTAGCTGATTGCTCGAAATCACGCTTCAAACAGTATTGATGTTTTTATCCAGAGCACCTTCTCATTAAAATTGAAATGAATTTATTACTCGTTTCGGATAGCGGCATTTTTTGTGATCGAAAAATATTGTTATTAATTGCTTTAAATTTTGCAGTTCAAAATTTGGAGATTGAGTTATCTTTCAAAGGAAAGATTGCAAGAAAGAAAAAAGAATAACAAAAGTAGATAGGCCTTTTTGCTTATCTTTAGCATTTAAATCTCTTCATGTATCAAATTTAACATGAGAAGTATAAAATTATTACTTTTAATAAATTACAATATGCTTTTTCTTTAACCTTTGTCCTCTTTACATTTATTAACCTCGAATGTATGACTATTACAGCCATCTTTTATTTTATTTTTTGATGTTAAAAAAGGAAAGAAAACCTGTAAGAAAAGATGAAGTAATTACAGAGAGAAGAGGCTTTACTTTTGCCTCAGTCTCGATAGGAATATTAGAAGAGAGGGAAATAGTTGCTGCTACGGTTTCAAAATTCCAAATACACTGAACTGTTGTTGAAATGGCTGAAGTAGAAGATGGCAGGACAGTCCAGTGAGTTATCATTATCACGATATTTTTTTAAGTGATTTAGTAGTTTTAAGTAATTTAAGTTTTAATTATAAAAAAACATACTAGTGATTTTAGTGATTCGAATATTGTGAGGAGTAAGCGCA